TTTTTTTTTTTTATGATGAAAACAATAAAAATTTTATATTGAAAAAAAAAAAAAGGAAGACAAGAAGGAAGGAGGAGGGAGGGGAGGTGAGGGGAGGGGAAGGAAGGAAGACAAGAAGGAGAGAAGGAAGGAGGGAGGGGAGAGGATGGGGAAGGAAGGAAGGAAAGAAGGAAGGAAGACAAGAAGGAAGGAGGAGGGAGGAGGGAGGAGAGGGGATGGAAGGAAGGGGAAGGGGAGGGCAGGGAAGGGAAGGGAGAGGGGAGAGAGGGGGAAAGGAAGGGAGGGGAGTATAAATAATAATATGAAACAAGATAGAAAAAATACTATTTGTGAGTTGGAAAGTCAGCTGATCTGGACAGACCAATCCGTTCTTTGCTCTTGACGACAAGACTCTTCCTCACGAGTGACAATTTGTGATTATCCCCTTGGAAACCCTGCCATTTCCACAAGGGTCCGTGGTTTGATTGATTTAAAATATTTATATGTTAGAAGATAGTCCCCTGGGCTTACTTATGATTCTGCTCCACATCCTCCTTTTCCTATTATATTGTAAATGCACCCCTGGCAGACCCCACTTACCCACCACCGCTGCCCCCGTTTTTGCTGATGTGAGTGCGTGGTTCACTGGATGCCAACTTGAGGAGTTCGCTCCACTCCCGCTCCCACTCTTCTTCCGTGTAAACCAGTCCTGACTAAGAGAGAAAGAAAACATAGTTGGAGGAAGAGGACGACGACGAAGAAGAAGAAGCCCATACAAGGTAGCAGAGATGCCTTCATGGTTTGTGTATTTCTTGGGAGGAGAAGGTGCAGATGGAAGAAGGCTATCCCATCCTGAGGGGTTTTCAACCAGGACAACTTTAAGATGGGTGGACTTCAACTCCCAGAATTCCCCAGCCAGCTAAGCTGGCTGGGGAATTCTGGGAGTTGAAGTCCACCCATCTTAAAGTTGCCCTGGTTGAAAAAAAATGCCCTGCTCCAACCTGCAGAACTTCAAGGGATCCCCAAATCAGATGTTTGTGTCAAAATTCACATTTATACTCAGAGAATATGAACAGTGGCCGCAGATGGGTTCCATCCCCCTCCCATTGTTTCTTGGAATAAGGAAAACAGGCCACCAGAGAAGAAAGGAAGAACCTGGATAGGAAAAACCTGCTTTGATGTTGGGAGAGACGATGTACTCAAAGAGCAGTCTTATAATGTCTTCCAGATTTCTCTGGGATAGTTGAGAACATCTGTGCTCCAAGGGAAGTAAATACCACAATGGAAGACCTTTGTCTCCATCCACTTTCCACTCAGCCCAAAAAACCAGAAAAGGGTTCCATGAAAGCCCCTTTCAGAAGAAGAAAAGACTCCGGGATGCTCCCGGCACACAACCTCTTTATTTTGGTGGGTCTGCTGCCACCTCCACCTTCTCTTCAGAGCTTCCCTTTCAGCCCCACTCCTCATCATGGCGTAAAGTGCTTTCCGTAAGACGAGGTCTCGGTCGTGAAAGCCCCACATCCCTACAAATGAAAGAAAGGCTGGGTTAGGAATCTAAAGAATCCTAGATTTATAAGGTTGGAAAGAAACTTTGAGCTCTTCAACTACCCCCTCCCAAGAAATAAACCAAAACAGAAAAGAATACAAGCAGCCAGTGTGATAAGAATGGAATAAAATGGAATAAAATGGAATGGAATGGAACAGAACGGAAGGGAACAGAACAGAACAGAACAGAACAGAACAGAACAGAACAGAACAGAGTAGAGCAGAGCAGAGCAGAGCAGAGCAGAACAGAACAGAACAGAACAGAACAGAACAGAACAGAACAAGCCAAGGAGATGTTGACACCTACCCAAAGAAGCCGCGTGCAAGAGGCAGTTTCCATCACCGGTTGTGGCCAATGGAAGAAGACGCTTGCAGCTGGTGCACACCGTTGACCACCAGTTGAGACGACCTAGGAAAAGTTCAACCATCAGTACAAGAAAGGTGTGAAGGAATCTTGGAGAAGATAATGAAGGATCTATTAAGGGGAGGGGAAGGAAGGAGAGAAGAGAGATACTTGGAGAAGAGATTAGTCAATAAACTCTATCCTCAGGTTGATAGCTGCATTCAGCTTCCAGTTCTGAAGTTACTCATTGAGAAACTTCACTAACTACCACCAGAAGAAAATATCTGTAGCTAAGGATTGAATTATGGGGTCCTTGGTGCTCTCTGAATTCGGTTTGGTTTTCTTGCAGACATTTCATTACCCAGGTAGGTACCATCAGTGCACTGATGTTGTTGCCTAGTTGGGTAATGCAACACCTGCAAGAAAACAACCAAACTCGTAGAGCACCAAGGACCCCACACTTCACATAACTTCTAGACTAATTATTTGATTCCTAATTTGCCTAATCCACCTGAAGACTGCACTATTGAATTCAGAAATTCAGGAGCTTTACACCAGGTCAGCTACAACCACACAAAGCCAATCAGACGTCAGTCTTTTAATCTAACAAGAACGGGAGTTTTCTGCAGACCTGTAAAAGTGGTGCATCACTGGTAAATCTCCACACTAATAGCTGAATTTGTGAAAAGCCCTTGATAATCTCCACACGCACCCAGTAAGCAGCAGCTGGTGCCCGCTTCCTCGCCCGACTACTCTGATTAAATCTAAATTAGGAGTTCACTCGGGAAGCGTCTTTCTAAGTGTGCTGGGCCGCCGTTGGGAGCGATAAAATTAGAAGTAACATGTTCTCATTTTTACGCCTTTCTTGGGGGCTTTGAGAAGCAACCGCTCATCATCTGCTCCGTGCAGGAACCGCAGCGCAAAAGGCTCGTCAGAGGACAGTACAGGTACGTCAACTTACAACCGTTTATTTAGTGACCATTCAAAGTTACAATAGCACTGAAAAAAGTGACTTGGGACCGTTTTTCACACTATCGACCCTTGCAGTATCTCCGTGGTCACGTGATCAAAATTCAGGCGCTTGGCAAGTGGTTCATATTTATGACGGCTGCAATGTCCCGGGGGGGGGAGGGTGTCAGGCGATCCCCTTTTTGCGACCTTCTGACCAGCAAAGTCAATGGGGAAGCCAGAATCACTTAACAACTGTTTTACTAGCTTATCAACCAGAGTGATTCACTGAACCGCTGTGGCAAAAAAGGTGGTAAGCCGAGGCCTGGCCCTATTCCCTTCTCTGTGCCCAGCTAGACCGACCCAAATGCATCCTTCGAACATACTGAGCCCAAAGCTGCTCTGCTAATCTCCCCTAAAAGCCTCTTTCTCTGAAGGCAGCATTAGAGGGGGAAGCAGCCGAGACCTCCAGGCAGAGAATTTACGTTTATTCATAAGGACCACGGAAAGCTAAGTCACACGTAAAGCTCAGCCACGTCTTCAGTGGACTGCAGAAATTGTGCAGTTAAAGAAACAACCGCTTTTGCATTCCTCGGGACATCATTATGTAAGGGGGGGAGCAGACCATCCTTCTCTGGATCGTCTTCCATTATTCATGGTTTTAGAGAGGCTTATCCCAGCCCTCCCACACATTGCTGTCTTATTAGATTAAAACCATCTTTTCTTTGGCCTCCACTTGAACTTAAGAGCTTCATCTCTCTGATCATTTTAATCACTTTTTCAGGCATTTCCTAGCCCTTTTACAACCTTTCCGAGACCAAATGGCCAAGTGGGCATCTGGCTTTCATTCCTGATTGAAGTAATCCATTTCAGCGATCCTGGGCTGAACAGAGGGATCCGAGAAGCCCTCGAAGCAGCCCAAGGCTATCTCACCCGCTTGTTCCAAAGCGACCATGGTGGCCTGCTCAATCAGGTCCCGCTCAACGAAGCTCCTGAAGTCTTCACTGTAAACACTGAGGTCAGGAAGCTGGAAGGTGTAGATGGGCATCTCCAGAGAGAAATGGTCATTGTTACATTCGGTGGCCACGTGAGAGCGAGCGAGCGAGACAATGGCGGAACTGGCATGAGAGATTCCTCTAGAAAGCCTCTTCTCTAAACAAGGGAAGAAAGGATGAGGAGAGGGCGTGAGACGCAGCCTGAAGATGTTCCCTACATAAGTCATTAAACATTTGCAAGAAAATAACAAAGCTCAGAGAATACCAAGGACCCCACAGTCCTCCTCCTCTTCCCTCCCCAGTTCTTCTTCTCTTTCTCCTCTACTTCTCCTCCTCCTCCTCCTCCTCTCCTATTTCTCCTCCTCATTCCCTAGTTATTTGTATGTATTTTCATGTTGTTTATGATCATGACTATCACTATTACTTCTATGTACACTGAGAGCTTCTGCACTGGAGACAAATTCCTTGTGTGTCCAACCATACTTGGCCAATAAAGAATTCTATTCTATTCTAGTTCTCCTCCTCCTCCTCCTCCTCCTCCTCCTCTTTCCCTACTTATTCTTCTCCTCCTCCTCTTCCTCCTCCTCCTCTTCCTCTTCTCCTCTGCAAACTCCACTCTCTTCTAGCACTGATGATGTTACCTAGTTGGGTAATGAAACATCTGCAAGAAAACAACCAAGCTCAGAGAGCATCAAGGACCTCACAGTCCTTCCTCCTCCTCCTCCTCCTCCTCCTCCTCTTCTACCCTATATTCACTCAATTACATATTACACAAATCCTGTCTGCAACGGAAAACTAAAACAAACAAACAAAAAGAAACCTTTGCTCTCACATGATTTTAAAAGCTGGCTAAGAATTGGAATATCCCAGGGGATAAAACTTTCAGAGATCACTATCACCCAGTAATCATGGGAAAGGACAATAGGAAGAGTCAACCTAAGATCATCACAGCTACACTTTCCATCGGTTCCCTGATTTATCTTCAGCTGGTATAAAACTTTTTTCTCTCCAGCTAGTGTAAAACTTTTGTCTTTCCCCAGTTCATGATACATCTTTAATAATTATACTCTTTGAATAACGGTCATCTACAGGCACCCTTGACAGAACCACCAAAGATGGAATGAAGTCAATGAAGTTAATCTTTAATCTTGGGAAGATAAGAGAAGAACAGACAAGCCTGAATCTCAGCAGCTTGGCCAGATGTGAAAACTAGGATGACATTCATCCAAAGGGGCTCCAGAAGGCAGATGCTACCTGGGTTTTGAGGCAGCTCAAATGATTATCTATACCAAGGGATCAACGGAGAGAGCCTGTGGCAGACCCAGAGGATGACACTGTTTTATTGACTGCCAAATAAATCCTGGTTTTGGAATTGTCTGTAGCCTCTGTGCAATAAGCTCCACGGCCTAAAGACAGTGATCCTTCTCAATTAAGCCCACACATTCATAGGGTGTAGGAGTATTGACCAAGAAAATCTCCCATAGGAACCATCTTTCTAAGCTCAGTATGATTTTAATTTCTGCTACTAGTTGCCATGGACATTTCAAATGAATGAAGTGAAATTATTTTTTTTTTCATTTACTGGGGATATTTTATTCTATTTTTGTTGTTTTGTTAAATACAGGGAGTTCTTTCTGGAACATACAAAACTGAGAGATAAATAAATGAAGTCCTCCCCAGAGTGTGCAAATACTCTTTGTGGAGTCAACACTTTCTGAAAGAACCAACCCTGAGGATGCCATGCTAATCAGGAACATGTGTGTAACAACAAGGGGGCTGAAACAGGAAAGCATTGTGAGTCCAGCCTCCTTCGCCTTCCCTTCATGGGGGAATCATGAAAAGAGGTTAGTGGCCAGTCTACATGACATAAAATGACAGGGGCATGAAAGGAGCCCCTTCAGCATCCCGTGATGTGACTGGCTGGTCCTTTCAACCCAGAAGGGGCTTGGCAGGTGCCTCCGACATGAATGTAGCAGTAGCAGCCAATCTACATTGGATAAGTTACCCAAGCACCTGTGTGTGGAGATGTTTCTGGAAGAACCACAAGGCCAAGTCAAGGGAAGTTCTTGAGGTCCACCCAGCACCTTGAATCGCCTCCAGAAACATCTCAACAATCCATACAGTGATTGCAAAACAGCTGTTAGAGGACTATAGCAACCCTGGTTGGCTAATAAACAGACCAGCTGAAGTTTTGGAGTGCTTTTCAGAGGCAACCCTTGCAAAAAACACTGCAGCAATCACTTTACCTTGGGAGATGTCCTCCTGTCTAGGAAAGGATAGCCGCTCACTCTTGTTCACCTGTTGGGAAAGTTCTTTATCTGGCTTTTGCTGCGGCTGCGGCTTGGGATACCTTCCTTCGTTGAACACTTGGGGCAGGTTGGCTGTATGCACCTGCCTGAGCTGTTCATAGTCACTCAAAGCAGCAGTGAAGTCCCAGTTTTTGCCTAAAAACACAGAAAGGGAGGCAGGGTTGACTTCCACAGTGTATGGCCGAGCTGATGTCTGTGAATAGGAGCAGCAGACAGCCACTGTTTCAGATTCACTAAACTGAAGTAAGAGGTATCAAAGTAAACATTGGCAGAGATCTTCCCTGTCTGTGACCCTCTTGGAAGCAACAGTTGGGCTTTGGAGAAGCAGGACCGGAAGAGGATTGATACATTTGGACTTTGGGGCTGGAGAAGACACCAGCCAATGGATCATTGAACACATCAACATAGATGTTGACACAAAGGTCCAGGCTCAAATTATCCTGCTTTGGACACATAATGTGAAGACCCAACTTGGTGGAGAAGGCTCTGATGCTGGGAAAGATGTTGGTCTATCGGGTGAGGAACAGCACCGCATAGCAGAATGTTAAGAGTGATTAAAATGGAGCACACATCAAGTTATTTTGCTCTCCTCGAAATCAGCAAGGATGAGCCAGTGAACTTGGCAACTTTAAGACTGGTGGGCTTCAACTCTCAGAAGGGCTGGCTGAGGAATTCTAGGAGTTGAAGTCTACAAGCAGTGGTGGGATCCAGCCGGTTCGCACCACTTCGGCAGAACCAGTAGCTAATTTTTTGTTGCCCAGGCCCAGAATGGACTTCTGGAAGCAGCATCCACACAGGGAACCGGTTGTCCGCATATTTGAATCCCACCACTGTCTACAAGGCTTAAATTACCAAGTTTGGAGACCCCTGAACTAAACTATGGGAGGAAAAATGAAAGAAAGCTGTTTCATAGTTGATCTATGGAACGGAGTAATCTACAGTGAGGGCCATCAACCTGAATAGCTTTAAAAGGAAAGTGAACCAGCAACTGACAGGCGCTGCCCATTCAACTTTGCGGGTCTAAATTATCTTCAATAAGAGAGGCTGTAACACTCTGGATGGGTCATGCTTTATCCATGTTCTGGCCACCCCAGGAAGGAAATGACCACCCGGTGACCTCTTAGCTTTCATCTCTCTAGTTGGGTACCCTGGACTATTGTACTTGATCAACAGAAAGCATAAATGTCAATACAGTTAAATAGCCAAATAACCAAACAAAATGTCATGGTATATTTAATTATGATCCAGCTTTAAACAACTCAAATATTTAGAGTGCTAGCTCTGCCAGAGATAGTACATGTTGGTTCATAAAATATTTAAAATGGTCAAATAATAGAATTTAGTGAGAATTTTGGATGAGTCTAGTGATCAAGGTTTGAATAGCAATATAGAATGCTTAAATAGCCTTCAAAGAAAGGCATATTTTATTAAACAGATCTCTGCAAGGAGAATGTTTTCCAGAATAGAGACAATAAAGCACAATGTATGTTTGAACAAGCTGCATTTATTTCATTCACTCAGGATTGCATTCTAACGTATAATATATAACCTCAATTTATAACCAGTTCATTGCCTTTACATTGTTATATTCTTAGACAAAAAAAACCCCTTTAATTCTTGCTCTTGAATGCTGGTGAATTATCACATCAGACCCTTATTATTTTTCAATGCACTGTTAATAAATAACATGCTAAAGTATTCATTATATCATCCTCCCGTAATTGTTCACATCTAAACCGCCTTTTCATTCCCCAGCCTATTCTGAACACCAATATCCACGCGCTGGGAAGGCAGAACACGACAAAAAGGGCAGAGCTAAAACTGTGGCAATTAAATGTTATCAAATGATTTTAAAAAAACGCGCACACAAGGATAACTGAACTAAAATAAGGACATAACCATTCTGGAGGAAGGATCGCATTTTCTAATTCCAAAACTGTTCTACAACAAAAAGGCAAATTTGAGGAATTTGGGGAAAAATGAAGGAGGAGGAGGAGGAGGAGGAGGGAGGGAGGGAGGGAGGGAGGAAGGAAGGAAGGAAGGAAGGAAGGAAGGAAGGAAGGAAGGAAGGAAGGAAGGAAGGAAGGAAGGAAGGAAGGAAGGAAGGAAGGAAGGAAGTCCTCTTAGGAGCCTATCTGAAGGCAGAAATTACTTTTATATATTTTATCTCACAATTGGCTTCTATGCATGGAAAAGCCACAGGAACAGTAGCGCCTTTATTTTGATGCCTGCAAAACTGTTGTCTCCAAGCAATAATTCAAGCAGCAGCATCAGTTGGTAGAACAATAATATCCTGCTGTTAAGAGTTTCAAGAGATCAACCTTGGCCAGCTTTTCAAAAAAAAGGGAAAAAAACCAGAAAAAAATGCCATGAGTAATTTTTAGCTTTTTTCAGCAGAACATGATTAGTGGTTTTTATCAAAGCAGAATGCATTTAATTTTCTTCCATTGAAACGGGGCGTCGTTAACAGCAGAAGGACGAGCGCGCATAGCCCTCTTTCAGAGGACAGCCAGAAATTACCAGCCTGCCCGGCCACGTGCCCTTCTGAGCAGCCTCTCCGCAAATTGGCTGACAATGAGGCAGGCCTCCAAGCTGACATTTCGTTGAAATGGCACCACGGTCAAAAGCCGGCTGACGTCAAGCAGTTAAGTTGCTTTTCTCCAAACCACTGTTATTTAAATGTTACCTTCGTTTGGATTCACAACCATCTTGACCGACCATTCCAATTTCTTCCAAAACACACACACACACACACAAGCGCACGGACAACTGAAGAACCATGCTTTTCTATCTGGCCCTCTTAAAGGTTACATTTAACACTATTCATGTAACGGCAAAGATAAAATATGGTCTCTCACTTATTGTTTATAGGAAATAAGACTTTTATTTCAATCCACCACACTGGGAACCGTAACGGGGAGCGTGTTACGCACCAGCTAAAAAGAGAGGAGAGTAGCCTTTCTCATAAATGACAATTTAGCCCAAAAAGATAACCAAAAAAGCTGGGAAGAAGCATTTCAAATCAGAATAATGCAGAATAACGGAGGTGGAAAGGACCTTAGAGCTCAAGCAGAAAGCTCTATACCATTTCAGGCAAATGGCTGTCCAACTTCTTCTTAAAAGCCTCCAGTGATGGTGCACCCACAATCTCTGGAGGCAAGCCGTTCCACTGGTTAATTGAAAATTAAATTAAAATTAATTTAATAAAAATTAAATCATTGAAAGAGAGCCTGCTCAGATCAACAAACTAATGTGGGTAGGTTGCAAATTCATGCTGCAGTTTCCAAGGTTTCTACCCTTGATCCCAGTCTTAAAGAGACCTTCCTGGCATTTCTTGTTTCTTGATCTTGCTCAGCTCGTACAAGGGGAGGAATTTGATGCTATGTATGTTGGCCAACGATGGACTCCTCCCTTGTAAACACAGGTTGTTGAAAAGCATGCAGAGAGGGATTCTCTCCGGATGGCTAATCCCGAGATGGTCCTTCCACTGCTCTCATGTGAATCTCTCCATGGTTTGTACAAGTGCGTGACAAATCTCACCTCCTTTGGATTTGGCAATCTATCAAGCTGGAGGTGGGTGAGAATTATTCCATAAAACAGGTGGCAGATTGTTCTTTTACAGATGGCTTAATACAAAAAAGAAAAAAGAAAGAACAAGCATATAGTTCGCTGACTTTATATAAATGCGCTCTTTTGGTCACCTGAAGGTGATTTTTTTCATGAAACGGTGCAGAGGTACTTGTGTGTCCAAAGAAGGGGCAAGTGACATCCTGTGTGTGATGTGGCATCCTTGTGTGAATGGCGTGAGTTATGTATTTTATGCATGTGACAGCCTTGTGGCTTGTTCCAGATGTCACTGTATGAATGTGTAAAGGAATGCTGGGAGGACCTCCTCCCATTCCATTTTATTTTATTTTATTTTATTTTATTTTATTATTTTATTTTATATTTTATTTTATTTTATTTTATTTTATTTTATTTTATTTTATTTTATTATTTTATTCTATTCTATTCTATTCTATTCTATTCTACATTCTATTCTATTCCACTCTATTCTATTCTTTAAAATTGTAGCAAAACAATGGATCTACCATCCTTTGTAGCATCTCCTCACCACTTCTTCTGCTTTGTTACATAAATCTATATACCACCAAAATTTTCATTTCTGTAACCTTTAACTGAACAAACAGCGCATTGTAGGGCAAGATTTTTGCACAATCAACCCAAGTTGTGAAAAGCATAACGCTGCCATACATCAAAAACATCTCAGAAATAACCAACGGATTATCATAACCACATGACATCACTGTAGCACACAAACCAACCAACTCCTTCAGGGTATCCCCAACATTTCCAGTGAAGGCAGCACATTAGATGTTCTGCCATGCTTGAAGGCATTTGGAATCCGGTAAGGAAATATCCCAGAAAGGACGACTCAAGAGGTCATGGGTTGTCTAGTAAGGTTTAAAGGTGAAATTTAGAGAGTTGCATATTCTATATTTCGGAGTTCATATCCTGCAACACATGCAAAGGGAACAGAAGGAAACCCCACCCTGCCTGAGGGATTCTGGGAGTTGGAAGTCCACAAATCTTAAAGTTGCCAAGGTTGGGGACCCCTGCTGTGGATGATGTTCCATAAAGGTGTTCTTACCTTCCAACAAATCTCTGGCTAGACCAGGCTCTGCCCCCGTGGACTGAACGAAGTCTGAGAGGACAGCATCCATATCAAGAGTCATGGGATCATGTAGGGCAGCTGCTAACTGGGCAGCAGAAGAAGGAAAGTTACAAGATGTCCATCTACCAAGAGGGAGAAAGAAGATCCCAGATAAATCACCTATTGGAGCGTATGTGTAGTCAGCTTTCTGAAACAGAATCCCTAAAAACTCAACATGGAGATTTGAACTATGCTTTATTCTATCTATTTATACAAATTTAGTTTAAACATAATCCGATATCTAAGGAGGACTTTGCATGACTGTCTTTGAATCTTCCATAGCTAGGTCAGTCAAGAACCTCAGTTCTGCACTCATTACGCCTATTCTCAACATTTGTGTCAGCCAAGCTCTTGGGTGAAAAAATAAACTGGAAAAATACATTTCCACCATTGATGTCTATACCCAAGATGAGAGCTTGGGGGGAAAAAAGACCAATCGTATCAGTGGAAGTCAAGAAATCAAGGCATGTTTGATTTCCTTTTTTTTTTTTTACAAGTTTGTATTGTCCTTTCTTCCCTGAACACTCCTTGGGTTCTTCAGGCAATCAACTCTTCTTAAAGATTCCAAAATCTGTTTAATTGTAAGGCCCCAGGTTTTCCTTTAAACAATTAGCCTTAAAATTGATACTGTCCAGATGTAAACTTATTTTTGAGCACTAAAAGTCCATAAGGACAACACAATTCAACACCTGCTGTTGTTTCAATACACAGCCTTTTCTGGCAGTATATTGCCTGTGTTTTTAAACTGAACTAGAAACTAATATTACAAGTTTCAGGGTATGAATTCTTCAGTTCTTGTTTCACAGGCCATAAATGGACTAGGAAACTGATTTTCTAGCCTTAATCCCAAACAATGCAGGGATATAACACCCCGCTCTTGGATACTTGTCGCAGGAGTTACTAATCTCCCCTCAGTGGAGCCTCAACATAGATATAATTGTTGTTATTTTTTTAAACTCACAACACTACTGGCTTCTACAGCCACTAAACCTAGGTCCTGCTCACATGTTTACAATAATTATTTCTTTGGTGCATCCGTGCCTAGATTCGGCATCTTCTTGCTGCATTTCACTCTCTTCCACTTCCTTTGTGATGTGATGATCACCACCAGATTCCTTTTCCTCCTTTACAATAGAGCTACTAGTCTTCTTGGTGTGATTTCTTCCATAACGTTCCTCGGGCACCACCGGAGATGTGTGTTTGGCCAGAGACGGCACATACACCAGGTTCCTACAAAGCTGAGTCAAGGAATCTCTTTTGATGGTGATTATGATTGCAACCATCAGGACAACAGAGAAAGCAATTCCCAACCTAATTCCCAAACTGGTGCTCCTCATTTTAAAGAAGGGAACTGCTGGTCCTCATGGACTCTTTTCAGTTGATAGCATGGTCTTGAGGACGAAGTCCAGAGGACGAGGTTATGTTCACATAATTGTTGCATTTCCTGAGGTACCATAGCCTTTTCACTGTTGCATCACAATCAAGTGGAGATCAAGATGGCCTGTTAGGTCAGTGATGAGTAATACAACCTTTTGGCTTCCCTACCAAGAAATGTGTTTTATTAAAGGTTTTACGAAGTCAAGAGACCTCCAAGTTTCAACTAGCTGTTTTCTTGGAAGCTTCGTCCTGATATCTAAAGGTATTTCAAGATCTGCTGTTTTGCAGAGGCAGCTACAGAGGATGGAGTGTGTAGTTATTCAAATTGCAGGAATGTATCCCCTCGATTTTTGCAAGCATCACCCATTTTGGAGCATAATTTTGCTCCCAAAATCATGAGAGCTGGGCATTTAATCTTCACTGGATGAGTATTGCATATGGGGTGAGAGAAACTTTAAGATGAGGTTGCACCAGCCACATGAAAAATAAGCAGAACTCATCTCTCACAAGAAGTAACCAGACATCCACCTGAAAGGGTCTGTCATGCCTCCGTCGGAGCCTGAATCTGCGGAGGAAAATGAGCTGGAATGGGACCCTATGGAGGTCGAGGGAGAGGTGTCTGTGGTTTCAGAGGAATGTGGGTAAGAGCAGGCCGAGGCAGGCCAGGGCCCTTCAGGATTGGGACAGGAGGAACAGGAGAGACAGAGTTCAGGCGATAAGCAAGGGCCACCCCACCTGATCCTAGCGCACGGAGGCAGGCTCAACTACTCGGAAGGAGAGCGTCCCGCCCCTCTCCACAAGGCACACCTGGAGACTGAGATTTAAGGAGATGCTGTGGGGAGAGGCTTTTGTCGGGAACAAATGCTGATTCTTTGTGGAGTTTTGTGTGTGTTGTTGCTGATCTCTTGTTCTGTGACTTCTGCTTGGAAACCCGGAAACTCTGACCATTGGACTGGCTGACAACGTTGCTTGGATGCTCAAAGATCTCGGACTATATTTTGGCTTCCCTTTTGAAACTGCTCAGGCAAGCGTGTATTCACACAGACTCATTAGGTTTATGATGTATGTGTCATTCCTTGTTATCTCCGTGGCCTTGAGTAAATTCCTCTCCTAATCAGACTGTATGTGAAACTACTTGCAGCCTGAGGTGGCTGAAGGTGTGTCTTCCTTTGTTTGGAGGCTTGCCAGAAATGTGGGAGCATTTGGGGAAAATTTGGAGCAATTAAAGGGCGGTTTGCATTGCCAGCTGGCTGCATTGCCTCTGGGCTGTGCCCTGGGTCATCACAGGGTCATTCCACCTTGTTTTATGTACAGGTATTCTTAACAACAGTTCATTTAGTGACTGTTTGAAGTTACAATGGCACTGAAAAAAATGACTTATGACTTGTTTTCACACTTATGACCATTGCAGCATTCCCAAGATCACGGGATTTACACTCTGACGCTTGCCAACTGACTCACACTTATGATGGCTGTTAAGTGTCCCGGGGGTCACGTGATCCCCTTATGTGACTTCCTGACAAGCAAAGCCAGATTCATTTAACAACTGGGTTACTAACTTAACCATGTAGTGATTCCCTTAACAAGTGTGGCAAGAAAGGCCGTAAAATGGGAAAAAACTCACTTCACACGTTTCACTTAGCGACAAAAATGTGGGGCTCAAAAGTCATAAGTGAAGGACTAGCTGTATTTATTTATCACATTGATAAACCACCCATCTTTCCAAAGGGACTCTGGATGACTAATCCTAGACCGGGGTGGGGAACCTTGGCTCTTTTATGACTTGTGGACTTCAACTCTCAGAATTCCTGAGCCAGCCAATTCTGGGAGTTGAAGTCCACAAGTCATGAAGGGGCCATAATTCCCCATGCTGGCTCAGGAATTCTGGGAGTTGAAGTCCACCAGTCATCAAGGGGCCATAGTTCCCCCATGTGGCTCAGGAATTCTGGGAATTGAAGTCCACAAGTCATAAAAGAGTCAAGGTTCCCCACTCCTGTCCTAGACTAACCTATTGGACTTGACTCTCAGCTGTCAGACTTGACTCTCTTAAATGGAGAACGGGAAAGAAGAACCGTCAACTCCTCACTGGACTCACTTTCAGCAGACTGGAAGGAAAGCTTCGGCGTTGTGCGTCAGACGGTGGAGAAGCTAGTTCATTTTTATCACAGGAAGCCATGCGAGTAAGTTGTGACTCCTGAGAAATCTGTAAGGAAAAAGAAGCTGGGTTAAAAATAACATTCTGGAATCAGGGACACGTATTGGCACCAAAGGAAAAACCACGTTCATCCTGCCTATCGCACCACTCCCGACTCCCGATCCCCTTTTGCGACCTTCTGACAAGCAAAGTCAAGGGGAAAGCCAAATTCATTTAACAACCATATTACTAATTTAAGAACTGCAGGGATTCATTTAAGAACTGTAACAAGAAAGGTCGTAAAATGGGGCCAAATTCGCCGAACAATTACCATGCTTAGCCACAGAAATTTTGGGCTCCATTGTAAAGTCGAGAACTACCTAGAACAGATTATAACTTTAGAGAGATTGGAATATATTTGTACTGCTGTAAGGAATATCAGAAGCCACGTCTATTTTTTTGTCTTTTTTTTCCCACAGTCTGGGGAATTCTGGGAATTGAAGTCCACTCATCTCCTAGTTGCTGAGATTGAAAAATACTGTTTTAAAGCCAACAGGTTTTAATCCAGGTTCCTGGATTATATCCACAGGTACTGCTCATCTTCCGGGTTAAAAAAAAATATCTAAAGAACGCCGCTTTTATCTCTGTTAAATTTCATTCTCTTCTTTTTCTGTCCAATTTCTATTTTTCTATGGCATTCACTATTCCATCCATTTCATCTGCATTTTCCCGCTTCTTCGGGGCCTTCAGTTACTGCCATTATCGGCAAAAGCCAAATAAATAACAAAAGTAATTCAGTTTGCATTTTATGGCAAGGCTGAGCACAAAAGGTCTGGAGAAATAGCAGTCAGAGGAAAAAAGCACCAATATTTTCTCTTCTCTTTTCAGGGCTAGAATGAAAGAAAAGAATCTGCCTGCGGGGCACATTTGGGAAGACACAGCACTGGCAGAGGGTGGACAAATGAATGCACGGGAAAACTTTGAAGAAAACTGTATAATATTCACATGCTGAGATTTTCTGCAGTCATCACTATCTATTCATATATATCTGTGTACGTATATATATTTATATTCCCATGGAATTCTTAGTTCCCCATAAAGGAGAATTACTGTGACTGTGAAGAACTTCTCTTGCTAAAATAATTAATATTGAGAGCTGCTATTTATGTTCCCATATAATGCAATGTGCTGCGTTAAGGAAAACAGATAAAAGCCTTTTTTATTTTATTCTTTTAAGGAGCGAAATAAAATGGCTTTAATTGAGTACTTCAGATGTTCTCATAATGGGAAAGCTTCTTTTTTAAAAAAATAAACCAGTGAGAAATGAGATACTAAAGAACAATTTAGTTTATCTTAAATCATTGTGGGGTTTTTTTAAAAAAACACACACGAGGTAATAGAACTTCCACTGCAATAACTTGGTTTATCCGGCTTAATAATACTAGTTAAACTTATGATAATTACATGTCCTGGACTCTTTATAGATGGAAAATGCAGATTATACATTCAAATTATATGGCTTTCACTAAAGCAATAAAATGAAATGAATAATTGCAGATATTTTGTACAAACATGACTGATAACAACTTTCAGCTTGCAATAACACAGATTTGTTATAATCAATGTTATACCCAGAGGAGATAAAAGAGTAAGTGGACTCCTATTAATCAGCATTTAATAAATGAAATTTCTTCAAAGACTACCATGAAAACAATTCCACAATTATAATGAGCTAAAACAAAGAAGCTATTAGGAATTTCATAACAAGTTATTAATTTGTTTTGCCCATATTTCTTCTGATATGATGGGCAAGAGATTGGAACAGAAAGGAAAACACACCATTTCTGTTGTCCTTATTACAACTCATGCATTTCTGCATGCCATGATCAATCTATGATAATAAAGAATGTGATGATGAATTTCATGTCCATGTGGAAACAAACCTAGGTTTATCACAATAGGTATAAAAATAGCTGCCACACACATTCATAATATCTCGTGAAGCTAAATGGGTGCTCTAGAGCAGGGATCTCCCAAACTTGCAACTTTTAAGACTTGTGGACTTCAATTCCCAGAATTCCCCATGCAATGGCTGGCTCCAGAGCATCCAAAATATGATAAAAACGCTCTTTGTGATCAAGAGTTCTCATTGTATTTGGGGTACTCTAGAATTGTCCAGCATGAATTAAGAGTTATTCTCTTGACGTCTTTTCCAGTCATGGAAACAAACGTTCAGCATTCCCCTCTACCTTGGAAGGCAAGAAATATTTTGCTAAATGGGGGGGGGGGAGTACACACCCTGGAAAAATCTGCATTGCATCACATCCTCAAGTATAAATCCCTAGAGAGAACTGAGTGACACTTAAGGGAGAGGATTGACTGCAGCATTCATTTCAAATAGAAATTGGGGCATATCCTCCTTTGAATGTTCGGATCTGTTTTAAAACAGGAGTGGTTTTAATGTAGCTGTTTTAGAAATGTTATCCCTGTTTGAAAAGTACAGATAGTCCCCAACATACAACCACGATTTGAGCCCAAATTTCTGTTGTCAAGGGAGACAGTTAAGTGGGTTTTGCCTCATTTTACAGCCTTTCTTGCCACCGTTCTTAAGCGAATCACTGCAGTTTTTAAGTTAGCAAGCCGGTTGTTAAGTGACTCAGCCTTCCCCATTGACTTTGCTTGTCAGAAGCTTACAAAAAGGGATCCCATGATCTCAGGAAGCTGTGACCGTCATAAATATGAGTCAGTTGTCAAGCTTCTGAATTTTGATCACATGGTCACGGGGATGCTGCAAAGGACGTAAGTCTGAAAAATGGCCATAACTCA